CCTCGTTGATGGTGCCTTCAGTACCTTCTGCCCTGTGTTAAACCAGCCTGGGTTCCACCTGATTAAAACGCCCTGCTCTTGCCTTATTATTAATTCTGTTCTGTTCTCATCTATAACATTGAAGAATATTATGTCACATAATGGCAGTGAGAATTTTTACAATTAGTACTCTGAAGTTGAAATGTCTAATAATTATTAGAGATCTAATTTAGATTACTAAATATTAATGTCTAATTTAGATTATTAGATTTATCATCCAAAGTATTCCATGTGGGAGTATTGGAGTCTAGTTTGGCGAATAACTTTTAAAAACTTGAATTAAATTCAATAGGTAATCCAAAGGTGAAAATAGCCGCTAAAATCAAGTCAATTTACTTTAAGGCAAGTTAGCTTTGGAAACCCCACTTTAGAGATTCCATTTTTTCCCATCTTCTGTTGTCTGTGTATCTGATTCAAGGTCATGACATCTGTTGTCTTGCTTGGCAGTGACTCATGGGAAGACCTTAGGAGTTGCCTATTTGGGCTCTGAGGTTCCCAGGGCAGGAAGATGCACACCACAGGCTGCCCATGCTGACCTCAGGCTCAGAGGGGAACCCCCCTGGCTCCGCCTTTCCAGTCTAGGATGTGAAGCACCAAGGGACAGACATTAATGAAGAGACATTATTAAATGGCCCTCTCTGTGACCACTGTTTGGGGCAAGATTTAACCAGAGCTCCATTCCTTCTGTGGTGTGAGCTGTAACTATGGGGGTTTCGCTGAGCTGGCTTGGGTTCAAGATGAAGCTTAGCTCACCAAAAGAAATCTGTGTTTATCATCCACCATGGAATGATCATGCAGTAATTTCAAGGTAACCAATTGTCATCACCAGATGATTTCTTAACACTTTCCAAGTCAACACATGATAACTGACAGAATCCGAATATAAAACCCTTAGCTTCAAAAACATTACTGTTTACTGACCTGATTCTAACATATAGGAATCATTGTGTTCCATTTTTGAAAATGGTATTATTATTAAGAAACACCCCTTTTGGTTTGCATCTCCCATCTGCTGTTTACATGAATGGTCTGGAATGCATCTGTAACATGGCCTGTAAAACACAAATTCCATGTGGTCGGCCTATTTCTTCTTCTCCTTTTGGCTCTTGGCCTCCTGGGGCAAAGCAGGATACCAGGTGGCCGCCTGCAGGAGCCAGGGCCTCAGATGAGTGCCACAAAGCGCTGGAAGCGCTCAGGCACAGCGGTGTGTGCTGTGCATGCCCCCAGGTCCCCTGGAGCTCTCCGTGGGAAGCCACAGGCCTGCGCTGCATCTTGGTTTTCTCTTGATTTTCCTTAGCTTCATGGCTTTCTATAAAAAGCTTAATTTAGGAAAACAAGTATCTCACAAAACCAGATTTGGACTTCAGTTCAAAAGGCACTGAGAACTGTACGGTGGAGGGTCAGGCTTCCCCTGTCCGGTTCATGGGCGCCAGGGTTGCCCCTTGCTCTGCAGGTTGGGGTGTGTGGTGTGAGCTCTGTGGACCTGCTGACCCACCAGAAAGTGCCCAGCAGCTGCCGTGTTGGCGTGGTGAGTGACTTTGGAAGTGGCTAATCCGTGTATTTTAAATGGGGAGGAATTTTAGAAGGCTGCATAGGATTCATACACATCCTTCTACAGAGAAAGGGTCAGAAGTCTGCCCTGGGTGACATGGCTTGGAAACTCCACGTCGCTCCGTCTTAGAATCCCTGCCAGGCCTGTGATCTGCGAGCAGTCTGCGGCAGGCAGGCCCTGATTTGACTTGCATGCGTGTATGGTGGCCCCCGTTGGTGGTTCACTTCCCTTTTTCTTCAACTAACTAATGCCGTCTCATTCGGCGTCTCCCCCACTTGGGCCGCTGCTCTTTAGTATTGAGCCAGACTTCTGCCCTCAGGAGCTGAAGTTTTGATGGCAGGACCTCTTCTCTCGGAGAGCATCTGACAAGGAGTAGGTTGCTGTGCCCTTCACTGAGACCCTGTTGCTTTAGGAAATAGGGCTTCGGGGAGGGCCCAGTTTCTGGGAGGCCCCGCCCCCTTTTTGCCACAATATACTCAAAAGGTAATTAACTTTTTTTTTGAGCTTTAGGGACAGTGGGTTTTGTCAGGGTTTGATATGAGCGTGTCAGATATGCTTGTTTGAACTGAACCCCCCCCTCCCCTGCACTGTCATGTTGATTGGACGTCCCATGGGTCATAGCCTCCTGTCACTGGCTAGGACACAGTCCTAGACAAAGCTGGACTGCATACACTGGATTAAAACTTTTGTGTTAAGAAAGTGTAGCTTGTTTGCAAAATGAGTTAAGAGCCAATTAAATATTTATGTGATTTGTGCCTTCTGCAAAATATGGCCTAAGATGCCCAGGTCGTCCAGGAAGCCGCACCAGCCCCTGCGCCATGGGCCACTGACCTGCCTCTATCCAGCTCAGCAAGAGCTGCCCTGGGCCTGGTGAGCGGCAGGAGAGTCCAGAGCAGGCGCCTTCCTGGGCGGACAGGGGGCCTCCGGGGGTCTTCACTGCAGCAGGAGCGCATCCTCAGGAAGGAGGGGTCCTGGCAGGTTCTGAGCTCAGAGCTTGTCAAGCCCAACTGCTGGCCAGGCTGTGATGGGCTCCAGAGCTGCGCAGGCGCACAGCTGGGGAGGGAGGCTGACCTAGAACCGGGCTGCTCCGGCCTGGGAAGGAGCTGCCCTCTAAGCCCAGGAAGCCCTCCGGGCAGTTGATAGAAGGTTAAAGTGGCCCCACCTGGCCACGGAATTTTGCAGAGTAGAGCAGGCCTGGGCTTCCTCTGGTTACTTAGGAATGCTGGTGCCGACACTCGCTCACTCCCACGCAGTGTCCCTGGGTGCCAGCAGGGTGGGAACCCCAGGCAGGACAGGGGCCCTGGTTTTTGTAAAGGTGGAGATGTCCTGCAAAGGTGGAGGAGTAAGCAAAAAGACAAAGCAGCTTCAGAAGGAGAGCAGTTTGATCCCGTGGAATTTCCTGTACCTGCTGCCAGGCACGGGGCCTGTTCTTTAACCACAGGACGCCTCAGAATCACTGAGTGTCCCGTGGGGAGGGCAGTTAAAAAACGAAAAATCCTCTTCCACAAACGCTCAGATGCAGCCCTTCACAGGGAATGGGACTGCAGGAGGGGAGGCGCCTGGGGACACCCAGCTTCCGCCAACCCCACCCCAGGTTAGAGTTGGAAGTGTCTCTCTGTGGAGCTGTGGCATGGCCTAGAAGGCACAGAGAGGCCTCTCTGAGAGGTGAGCACCCCTGGTCAGAAGTTCCAGAGAGTTCTTCGGCAGTGCACACATGATGTTTAGAGTCTGTCATTGTTATCAGATGTACTAATTTTGAATTCTGCTTTGTAGGAAGGTTTTGTCTTAGATGATTCCTGTTCTCCACTTTTTTTTTTTTTAATGGATGAATGAGGGCTGGGATTGTGGCTCAGTGGTAGAGCCCTTGCCTAGCACAGGCGGGACCCAGGTTCCATCCTCAGCACCACATAAAAAAATAAATAAATAAAGGCATTGTGTTGTGTCCATCCACACCTAAAAAATAAATATTTAAAAAAATAAATGGACGAATGAATGTTATATGTTCTTGCTAAAGGTACCACATTAAGGGGGGACAGCCCTCTCTTTGGGGTTGTACATTCCCCAGAGAGTGACAAGCCACCATGTGCAACCTGCATTTTTCCTACCATAAAAGTATTGGTTTCTAAAAAACAAAGCTATAATATAATCATATTACATGGCTGTTTCATAGCCACTCTGATGTACTCTTCAGAAAATGAATACTTCATTAGCATAAACCATACACGGTTACTTCAGTGTGGACTAGAAATTTGGAGTGCCTGTACCCCTTGCTTTATCTCTGTGGGTGCATCCTGGCCCATCAACATCGTGGCTGGTGGGCTTCTCTGGTTAAATAAAACCTTGTATTGGAAGGATTCTGGGGCAATGCTTTTTTCCCAGGCTTTAATATCTTAATGAGCCCACAGGCCTGGCTGCTTATAAGTGCCCGGGACTTCTGAGTGTGTTGTTAGTGTTAGTACCTGAACCAGGATGTTCATTAGGAAGCTCTTGTTTCAGTATCTCAGAGAAACTCCCCATTAGGAAAGATCTTTCAGCAGCATGACTAGCGAGGGAAGGAAGGAGGGAGACTTTTAGGTGTGTGCAACCAGGGATATTGTATCAGTAGCCTTAGCTCTAAAGGTTTGCCCCTAAGAATTAATTGGAGCAAATACATCTCAGGGGAGGGGAGAAGCTATGTAGAGCAAGGACTGAAGTTGTTATCCTTGCAAGTAGAGGACTCTTCATTTTGCAGGTGAATCAATAGTAGGACTAATTATTTCTGGTTATCTTTTATGGGTTTGTAAGACATTTCTTTTGTTCAGTGTAATAAAAAACCCATTGTTTGATCCGTGACTGACTAATTATGATAAGTAATTTGAAACATTCCTGATGAAACTTGTCTGTTAATTAACATCCACAGCAAATGGAAACCAACAGGACAACAAAGTCTTAGTGCACCCACTGTTCCCTGGAATGGATGAGATCTCTGTAGCATGCCCAATAAACCCAAATTGCCAATGGTTAAAAAATAACAAACAGGTGGGAAGGTCTGACTCACCCTGGAGGAAAAGTTATTGTAAAGCTACACAAAGGAGTACTGAACTATTCTGAGGGAGGAGGTGGCCACGAAATGTCAGCAGGCTGCCTGACCCTGCGGCTTAGAAGGAGTCTGCTTTCTTGTTTGGTTTTTGAAACTTAGTTCCTAAATACATTTGTCCGGCCTGCGTGGAGCCCTGGTCCCAGCCCCAGCCCTGCAAACAAAACAAAAAGTCTCAATGATGATCTGATGAACAAAGAGACTTTCAGTAAGTAAAAGTGTGGATCCAAGAAGTTGCAATTTGGGATTATTGGCAGTGTCTGGCTTGATGTTAACATATCATTAACACTGTTTAAGTTTTATCAACTCAGTGGCTTTTCTTTTATATTTTAGATTTCTACCTGGACAAGGACTGGTACTATACCCACAGATAGGAGACAAATTGGATATTATTTGCCCCAAAGTGGACTCTAAAACTGTTGGCCAGTATGAATATTATAAAGTTTATATGGTTGATAAAGACCAAGCAGACAGATGCACTATTAAGAAGGAAAATACCCCTCTGCTCAACTGTGCCAGACCAGACCAAGACGTGAAATTTACTATCAAGTTTCAAGAATTCAGCCCTAATCTCTGGGGTCTAGAATTTCAGAAGAACAAAGATTACTACATTATATGTAAGTATAATTGTGTTTCCTTATTTTGTAGAAATTAGGATAAGCTAAATAGGTTTGTATCAATTTTTGTTTCCTTAAAATTATTGTGGCAAATAGTTGGGTGAGAATCTTTGCTGAAGAGTTGTCCACTTTTTCAAGGAAATTTTAATTGAATTTGGGACCCTGTAGTAACAGTATTAATTAAATATAAATACCCAAAGGGGGAAAAAACATCTTGGGATTCCTACAGTATTGACATAAATGGATTAAATGAATATATACTCAGCAGCTCTACTGAAAAAACCATTTTTAAGGACCACTGATGAGATTTTGATGGGTAAATCTATGCGATGCCTTTTCTCTTCATCCATCCATCCACCCATCCATTTGTCCCTTCATCCATCCATTCAGTGTTTGTTCTGGTGACAGTGCTTCAGTGTCAGGGACTCAGCATTGGACATGGTGGCATAATGATGACTTCCTGCATGAAGGTGCCAGCCTGGAGAAGATGGATCTCATAGGTTGGAAGGTTTAGGGTTGCAAGACTAAGCACCATTATACATGGACTTCTTAAAACCAGATTTTGAAGGGTAAAGCAAAACCTAGTTTTCTCACTGAATTACTTCCCTTCCCCATAAACATAACATTGTTTCAGGAATAGATGGTACAGAGTTCTTGGATTATATCTGATGGAAACTCATGAGGCTGTGAGTTCCAAATCCACGAGGACACCCTGAACATGGGCCTACTGTGTGCACCCTGAGCTAGCACCAAGCCCAGATTGCTCCCAGGGCCCTGGATTCTGTCAGAGTGGAGTCTGGGAGGCTCAGACAGCTGTGTGCATGATTCAAGCAATGAAATATTTTTCCCTAAATTTTCAGTTTAAAATTATACTCTTAACTGAGTGGAATTCTCCATTTGTTTCCGTAGACTTGAGCTCATTAGGGAACTGCCTCTGCTGGCTGGGCTCCCCTACTGCTTGGTGATCAGATTAAAGGTCTGGCTTTCTCCATCTACAAGCGGCTTCTTTAGAGCTCAGAACCAATAATTCACTGAATATTTATCCAGTGCTCCATAATATGTATGTTTTACTACATTAGGAATTTATAAAAGGTGGTCATGGGTGCCTAATTATCTTGTCTGTTGCTTCGAAATGCTACAAAGACTAAAAACCTGTGTTTGAAGCCAACTTGATACATAGAGAGCAGCTTTCCAAGAATAAGTAACAAAGAAAAGGAGAAAGTGGTAAATTATGTATTTAATGGAATAATTATCATAAAATGAAAATAAAAGCATTCCAAGATGAAACAAAGCAGATGGGGTGGTAAAGTGTACAAAATAATAGGGAAATCTTTGACAATACACAATAGTTACAAGGTAAAATAGATGAAAACCAAACTTTCGTAAGCTGAACAGTGTTTTTTTTTTTTTCAAGACCATGTAAAGACTTTTTCAGTGGATCCTAATGCCTAGCATAACATTGATAGTGAAAATGACCTGCAGTGAATTCAGGAAGAGGTTTCTGCCCCTGTGGGGTAGAGAGGGCAAGTGGCAGCCTCTGATGAGTGGGTGCACTAGATTGATGTTCCGTGGTGGTGAAGGCCTGTCCCTACGCCTGAGGCTGCCTGCTGACCCAGCCATGGAGGATAGCCAACAGACCCTCACCCATTCTCTCTCTTATCTTAGTTCATGGCTTCATAAAGATGGCTTTGTGAATTCTAAGATCCCACTGAGTGCACGTGGGATTTCAGTAAACATTAAAGGCGTAACCTTTAGTCTGAAATACTACACAAGAAATGCAAATAAATAAATGGTTTACCAACATCTCTTTGCTTAATGTAGTGCATTTAATAGCTAGCTTTTATCAATGCATGAGAGATTTGTATTTAGAAGCATAGTTTAATTTATAATTATAATAATCTACACAATAATGGCATCCTTTATTTTTCTTTTTTTGGAAACTCATTATGCCACATTAGCAGGTTCATTGCAGGTAGCTGAGCTACTCTGGCCTCCAAAACTCTGCTTAGAATTGTGATTTACAGTGCAAAACCATGGGGTGAACTGAGATAAAAGAATCTTAAACAGAATTGAGGGTTGCAGATTTGCAAAAGGAGGAGATTTTTGAATGTTGGCTGTTGAGAGACTGCCCCAGGGTTGGTAAGTGCCCAGGCTCAGAAATTGGCCTGGAAGTCCAGTGACACCTTAGCAGAGTTGAAAGGTTTCTACTACATTGCAGGCAGAGGAGGGCATTTCAGATGCTTAGGAAAAAGCAGAAGCCAGTTTCTTACCCACCCTATAGCAAAGCTCATCAATACACAAATCTCTCTTGAAGGGAAATGGGAAATTAGAAGAACAGATGTTAAAATAGTCTTAAAAAATAATGTTGACTTTGAATTGTTTTCTTCAAGACTTCCAAGACACCAAAATAATTAAGGGATTTGTAAAAGTTACTAATTTCTATATCAAACAAATGCCCACCCGTGTGTGCGCACACACAGGGTCACAGTCAGACTCTTTGCCTTTCTTCAGAAGAAGGAAAGTAAATGTTTGAAGATATTGATTTTTATAATGGTACACTCATAAAATAGTGCTGGTAGCATGATGGAAAATAACCAGATTTACAAGTGTATTTTTAACTCCTGAAAGCACTGGTTCTCTTTGAGACAGTAATATGGGCATTTGAATTGCTAGGAAATATAATACTCTGTTTAACTCCAAACCTTTGTGTCTGGTTGGTGGCATCTTCATCACTGGGGGTGGGATGGACCCCCCGGGGACAGTCCCCATGGACTACACTGGGGTCTGTGATTCCACAGGGGAACAGAGATTTGGAATAATTGGACCAGGAGCCCGGAGTCCTGCATCCTAGTTCTGCTGCCTGAGCATAATAAGAAAGTCACTTTATTTCTATGAACTTTAATTTCCTTCTCTAGAAAATACATTGATTATTGGTGTTATTGTTCAGATGAACAATAGCAGTCTCCTCTAGGTCCAGGCTGTCTATGGCTGGACAGGATCCTAAACCTGACCTTGTTAAGGTGGCTCCTCTCAGCTGACACAGGCAGGATCTACTCTGAATTCTTTAAAGACTCTTCATTCAATTTGTAGAATTACCCAATTTAAAATAGTCATCACACTTTGAGTTTTAAAAATAAATATTACTGTTTAATGAGAACTATTTTAATCCTACCAAATAGCCACTAAATTCTCTTAAGAAATGACATAATAAAATGATATATATCCTCATTAATACTTCTCATAGATGATTATTTGCTTTGACATGTGGCAAAATGATATATATGGATTTTCTTCATGTTTACAATTGACTTTTTCAAGTGACCTGTTTCATTAATTAGCCTTGGGCTTAATTTGCATAATAAAAATCTAATTATTAAATGATTCAAAGATGGTCTGATAAGCCCCTGTTCTCCACTCCAGTTATTTTTATCATGTCTTTAAAATTGTGCAAATGTTTGTGAAATAACTATATGTTCATGCTGATTCCCATTTTCAAGGGAAGCTCTGTGTTGGACATAAGTAAACATTCCAACTAATATTAAAAGTGTTCCTGCCTCCCTGTCCTTCATCCAAACAGTGTCCCTTAGGCCCTCTCTGCTTGGCTTACCATCTTCTTTAAAGGTAATAATCCCAAGCTGTGTGGCGCGGCCATTGGGTGTGTGGGTCTTTGCCACACAGTCCTGAGGGCAGTCCTGTAGGTTGCTTATGACCTTCGCATAAAACCTTCAAGATACAGAGATTTCCGTCACACTACCAGAACTGTGTGAATCAGAGACGGGCGAGACGCAGATGCCTTTGTGATCGTGCATTTTAAGTGCACAGTGACCACAACAGAGCTGTGGATAAAATAATATTCATAGAGTGCCTCCCCATTTAGTTTAATGTGGCTTTTGCATTATTTGACTGTCAACCTGTAGCCAGGACGTGGTCTTGTGGCGTAGCCTGTAGGTCATCATTTCTAAAGGCTGTTTGGTTGATAGTTGTTCTGTTATGTGTACACACATGCTCAGCCTGAAGTGTTCACAGTAGTCTTTCTGGAAGTCAGCCCTCACTTTCCAGCCTTCCTTGATAAACACGGAAGGATTCTGGAGGAACTGCCATTTCTTAGGCCCCTCATTGGTTTGGTTGTCCGTTTGTTTGTTTGTTTGTTTGTTTGTTTTTTAATATAAGAGCATGCAAAATTGGAAGGCTCCACAGATACCTTTTGCAGTTTTTTTGGACATGTATTCCATTTTTGAGCAAAATCACAAAATCAAGTAAATGCTTACACAAATAGAATGAAACAACACTTGTAAAAACCCAAGCAGAACAGTAGATCCTACTCCTTATTTTGATTGAGCATATGTATGTATGTTTGTTTTCTTCTGCTGTTTTTTCATTTATGGATCTAGGTTTGGGGAATAGGAATGACAGGGGACACGAACATATACTAAATGTGCTGTCATCTCTTTCCTAGCAAAATAAGTTACGGGAGCTTTCAAATGTCTTTTGGTATTTAGATATCTTTTGAAATACATAAGAATACGTGACTTCTATAAAGTGATAATGCACTTCATTTGGTGGATTATTTACATGTAAATGTGGCAAAAGCAACACACTTCCATCCTAACATAGATCAGGCTAAGTGATACAGCAAAATCATCCTGTCCCTTACATCCTGACTTAGGGTTGGAGATTCATGTTTGCTAACTTGCACATAATTACTAAGTGTAAGCTTTTAAACCCATTTCTGTCCTTCCCTACAACAGTTCTTTTTGTAATGTAATTGTCAAAATCTTGCCAGACACTGTAGAGTATGGTGCTTAGAAAGTAAACATACGTACCACTAACACAGATGAGCCGAGGAGCTGAAGGTCTGGGGTCTGGCAGTCCTGGGCTCTTGAGTGCCTTTATTCAAGTAATCTAACCTGTTATTGTGCCTTGATGTCTCCATCTGTGAATGGGGATGGTGGTAGCACCTGCTCAGAGGGTAATGTGGGTTGTGTCAGGTAGATGTCAGG